AAAATAAACATTTCAATTCATTAAATAAATTATCAGCGAACAAAAATATCGAAATTCACCTACACAACAAACGAACAAAATGTTTAGATTACGACTCAGACGTTTTTTAGAAGGTTTTTTTTTTCTAATGCATCCGTCCTTACTGAAACAATGAAAATATCACCAGATAAAAAATTGATTATGCTCTGTCTAGTGAAATAGGTGCTTCAGATAGTCTTAATGACTTTGAGAACATCTATATTATCCTATATATTCATCGACATTGGTGACGATGGTACCACATTAATTAGACGAGATTTTTACTCCAGGGAAAAAGATAGAAGCAGATGCAATCGCCTAGTATCAATATGACTTCAATGCCTTTTTAATGTTTGGAAAGACGTTTACTATAGTTGGGTGGCATCCTTCTTATAGCAGAGTGGCTTTTCGAAAGTCTACCACAGTAGTTACGAAAAATGGAAGAGATTTTGAAAGAATTTCAGGAACCTAAATACATGAATATATATTCAAATATATATCAAAGAAAAATGAAATATCCTTTTTAGCTCAAAGGTAAAAGGCTGAGAGAAGAATCCTAACTAAAATGTAAACATACCTCTTGAAACTAATTGGTCCTAGCATTGGAATCTCATTATGAGTTCATGCTAGAGCTTTCTCGTCTCGTTGTGGTTGTTTGAAATGAGAAAATGACTAGAATCAAATATAAACACAGGCTTATATAAATCTTTTTAAATATAGGACATAAATTAATAGATACCGTTTGAGACAATATATGTGATCCATAAGACTATCAGTTTTTGAAAACAAAAATAAAACGACAATAGCAGCAGATCTGCTATATAATGGGGCATACGGCAGAGATTATTTTCAGTATACAAATGGTAAACGTGGCTGAATCACAGCATAAATAAAGCTTCTTTTATATCAAAGAAACTAATAAATCAAAAATAAGAGAGTCTACTTATGGTTCTTCCTGTTTCAAGCCAATGAAAATATAACGTTCAAAACTTAAGCCTTACTTCAAGAAAAACTACGCTTCCACACACAGATATACTGTGAAATATTTTCCGACACTAGTCGACTTTAATATAAATCCGTTTGTAATAAATAATATTTTGGAATAAAATTTTGGAATTTAAAAACTATGTTTATTATAACAAACGAACAATTTTGGTATTACACGTTGCTGATGATGGACAAAGAATTTGTCCGAAATATACAATTTCAATATCAACTCAATAAAAAGATAAAATGAATATTTTATTTTCGTTTGTCTTTTACTTCTATTTATATTTACATGTTGTTCTTTTATTGTAATAATAAACAATACTAATCTAATCTGATTTCAACATCGCTAACCTAAGACTTTTACTCTCCGAAATCGTTATCAAGATTTGCCAGACAAAAATGAAATACAAATTTTTGAGTGAGAAATCAGAATAAATCAAGAATTAACTCACTTAAATACTTATGCATACCAGTGTGGAACAGTGTGTATCTATATGATTATTTCTACAATAGCTCTATGAAACACAATTTTGCCGATGACCTTGATACCCTTCAGAAGTTGAACAGAGTATCTCTTCAAAAGCTTCAAACCTGCCTATTTTTTGCGTCGTCGATTTTACAGTATGTCTGAGTAAAGACAACGATCATACTAATTATATAAATAAACTCTTGTCAATCAGGTGCCATGCTATTATGAGGTGTGAGGACAGGATGAAGAGAGTCTGCCCACTCATACGAACAATTCCAATGTGTCTGTGTGCTCAATATCCTCATATGATTTATTTCAAATTTAATCACAATATTATAGATGATTGTGGCGGTTTCGAATTAGTATGAAAACTAGTATGCAAGCATTCAAAATTATCCGACTTCTCTAACACTGCTACATCAAAAATGTCAATTATCTTATTATGGAATAATATGTCAACTGAACATCAATTAGTCTGAATCTTTCTTTTGATACTATTTTTTTCTTAACGAACTCAATCGAAACGAATAAACATCGAACATCAATCTCTATCTATAAACGTAGCTCATCCTACGACTAATAGACATGTTTATTTCAGGTATACCAAACACTTTTCTTTCAACTATTACATACAAACAAAGAAGTTCGTGTGCAATCCGATCCGTCTGATATTCTGTTCCTATTCCAATTTACTGGTCACTTCTTATGAGGGCGTTTTCATTCGATCATAGTCTACATGACTTTCAAGCCTGTCAACTGTAAGTCAAGTGTGTTTCCACAATAGGCTTTGCCTGTTTTTGGAGATGAGACAACATCATGTCTAGTAATTAAACGAATATTGACTATTGATTTATATGTGAAGTTTAAAAAAAGTCAACAGTCAACAAATATTGTGTCGAGTCATTTTGCGTTAACTATGTTCAGATAAAACCATTATGAAAATAATAGTGATGATTTGGATCGAAAACGGCATAGAACATAGTGCATGACAATGAATGTTGAATGGCTGATAAGAACCAAATAATTGTCAAAGTTTTTTTCAGTGATACGTGACTCAATAGATGCATGTTAAATGGTTGTGTCATAGACGATGTCATGCAATTATACAGTGAGAAGTAAAGCTGATGTATAAAAGTTTACTCAAATGAGTGGCCATGGGTCTTTGAGACCATTTCACTTAGCAAGTCTACTTTTTCTCAAAATTCTATCAATCGATAGTCATTTCAAGACTTGTCTTCTATCATTTTCTTGATTACCTTCAATTTTGAGTCATCATTGCGTTTATTTTGAATATACCACCTCTCTAAATAGAACATTCATTTCGAGGAACGATGATTTCAACATAATAAAAACGATTTTTAAGCGAAAAATCTGAAAAATCTGAGGTAAACATTATTTCTGAACTGCTAAGTGTCTAAAAAATATCTTCTGAAATCCTCAAAATGGTTGTAGCTTTCTGAAAACTCTTTTAATTAAAAGTTACGGACATCAATGTGACCAAATAGCAGACCGTACCTGAAAAGGTTCTACTAGTTGATATAATAGAAGACTTGAAGTTTTCTATTTCAGGAAGGTGGATTGCTCTCTTCTATCTCTGCATACAAATGACTGATTTTTTAAAGAACATCTATTAATTGAGGAACTTATAATGTTAAATAACCAGCATTCAAACATCAGTTCGAACACCTTACAGGACTCACTAATTTGATTACCAAGAGCCATTAACACAGGGAGAGTATCGATAGATGAGCATGCTTAGATCTGTCATGTGTTCAAGTCAGTCGCCGCCAACTTTCTCTCCATCCACTCACATTGTCAACATTCATGTAACTCGTTTCAGAGAGCAATAGCAGTTGCCGCTTTGACAATATATTAGATACTACACTTTTGAACATTTTGAGCATTTTAGATCACTTTTCATGCATGTTGTTGTCTATTTTCTACTCAATCAGGTTTATAACATCATTTTCTCATACCTGTATTTGCTTTCCTAGTATCTTGGCAACAAGAGAATTAAAAGAAAAGAATCAAAATATTTTCATCGTCACCGGTTGATTACCAAATCGTTCTTGTTTCTACTGCCGAGAGTAAAAAAATTAAAAAATTGGCAACAGGCATCACTGAGAAAGGAAAAATTTTACAATACATTCAACCACAACCGCTCATTGTATCGATTCACATCTCGAATACGAGAAGAGGTTCAAGGGAGTATCTCTATCCTAAACCTTCACTCTCATAAGAGAACAACGACATTCGCACATCATGAGATCGTCTTTGACCTTTACACACACACTGCAGTAGCCTCAGGAAAGAATGAGTCAGACACCATAGAGTAATCTTCAAGTTTCCAAAACAAAGATGTTGTTCTGCATTTTAAGTGCCGCTTTTTGCATCTTTGTAACTTATGTACTCAAAACGCCCTCTAAAAGAAACAAAAATCACATATTGCGAATAAGTATCATGAGATCTAAATAATCATTTATAATTCATAAAGATCATTTTCTCTCGATTTTTTGCATCAGCGTCATCATATGTAATATAAGAATGTTATAATCTATCTTTTTGATGGTCATTCACCCTCTCATTCGTCTAAATCATTGGAAAAGTTGTAGTTTCGTCCATTCTGCTACTTGGAACCAACCAACGATGTCATCATTATGACAATGAAAGAATACCTTGAATGATCGTCAACCGTATATGTACCAGATAGTGAGAGGGAGATAGAAGAAGAAGGCAATTAGAGACTTCTAATAATGTCATCATCTCATTCTGAAATGAATAAGAAAGCATAGAGAATAATCGGATTCTATGCATAAATCAGCTTACTCTGACAGCGTGTTCTCTGTTTGATCAAAACAATTTTGTTGTTGAAACCTGATGACAAAAAAATCTCATAAAGAAAAAGAGTCTCCATTGTCAACCAACTCCATATAAACTTACTATTAACGAAAAATCAATACTACTGTTATTGTACGCTTAGCAACACAATAAATAACTACAATTGTTATTATCAAAGATTCTTCGTCTTAATATTGATGCAACTCATTCTTTTTGGCCTCACGAGTAAACATTATATTAGTTGGCTGCTAGGCGTTTTTTCTTTTCTCTCGCTCGTATATTTTTTTTCTCTTAAAATAGTTTATTCACTTCATCGTTTCATAGCGCAATGATTAAAATGAGACGTCAGCTGTATCTTAGTTACGATTGCTATGTTTCTACTACGTATATAATCGATCGATTCTCATTGCAACTAATAAAACAAGTAAGAAGCGACTCGATCAATAACATAAGCATCACTAGTTATTTTATACAAACTAACAATGAGGTATGTTGAATTGTAGCTTTATCTTATATATCAATAAATTTCATGGTTTATCTATTCTACTAGTCGTCCAGTTACAGTTCAACCTAATGAGAAACTCTTTCCTACAAGCGGACAATGGAGCAATGAGTTATTTCAATCGTGCAGTCCAATATCTGATGGTGAATAGTCAGTCAATTATGCTTTTAAAATTTTACATTCATGATTGTAGGTATTGTATATTGTTTCTGTGGAGCATGCTGTGCTGGTCGTTTACATGAACGTACAGGTGAACATTTCTGTTCATGTTTAGCTCCTGGTGCTACACAAGCACTTCGAACAAAGATTCGAATGGCTTATGGTATCAGGGTAAGTATCTATTGATGCTTATTTCTCTAGGAACAAATCATTTATTATCATATTATTGTATAGGGTACACTTGTTAATGACTGGCTTGCATCATGCTGTGGTCCATGTTCATTATTACAAATGAAGAAAGAACTCGATCGTCAGGGTGTACCAGATCCACATGCCTAATAGACAAATCATTAGTACTTTTT